AAAAAAAAAAAAAAAGAAACAATGACGCTGCCGGCAATTTGCTCTTGCCATGTGACTGCTTACACGGTAGCACGTGACCCCCATATGTAGAATTTTGTTAAGAGAGTTAACGGAGTTACGCGGGAGTAGACCAGAACGAAGCAAATTCGGAAGTTAATAGATGAGTTTGAAAGAAAATATAATATCTCGATTAAAATGAGAAAAAAAAAATTACTTATTAGTAAGGTATCTCTTCTTCTTCAGACAGTGGCGGTCCTGGCGGACGTCCTGGTCTTCGCCTGTTTCCTGCTTCATCGACTCCAGTCCTTTTCTCATTTCCGCCCTGCCATTAATTCTTCCTGGTGACAGAGACAATATAAGGAAATTACTAATTAGGGTTAGCTGATTTCATTAAACAAGTAATACTTAAGCAGATCCAAAGCCTTCCTTCGCTGATAAATAGAAAATTAAGAAATATTTCGCACTAAGACAGTAGAAAAATTGAAGAAACGACAGGGAAAAATATGAAAAAACAACAAATTAGGCATGTTTATATTCAAATAATGATGATGAAAAGATTGATAGTTTACACACCTGAATCTCCACCAAGATATATATGAAAAGGATTCGCTGTGGCGCACGACCTAAGGGAACTCAACCGGTCGGATAGGATGAATCGATCTGAAAGAGAAAATTTCCATTTAATTGCTTGATGAATTTTATAGCAGAAAGGCTTCGTAGAAGTAATTTTTAGCTCGCGAGACATCTCGAGCTAAATAACACTCCCCATTGAAAGCGAACGCCACAGTTTTTTCCTTCTCATATATGTAATGATTCCAGTTTATAATGTAGTCTTATTATTTTCCTTTCTTAAGTCAAGAACAATTGAAATTTCTATAGCACCTTTCTAAAGCTGTAAATTCATTACTCCCTTCTTTCGTCTTTCATTTTTAGTAGGGGTATTTTGATTTTGATTTTGATTTTGATTTTTTTACATAAATTTTAGATAAAAATTTAATGGATTGTATAAATAATAATTTAAAATTTTATTATATATAAAAATATATAATAAAAACTTCATATAAATTTTTTTTTTAATTTTTGTTTATATAAATTATTAAATTTTTATTTAAAATTTATATTTAAAAAGTTAAACTGAATTTATTAAAAATAATAAAAAAGAGTAAAAAAATTAATTTTAATTACTATTTTATATATTTTTAATAATTTTAATTAATATTTTATATATTTATGCTTAAGCCTATAATCACAATACAACTTAACCTAATGCTAATAGAGCACCTCGACCAAAGTCTTTTTTACTTTATTGTTATATTTTTATGTTTTTGGGAAGCAAGTTTAGTTAGTCAAAGTGAACACTACAGTATGTTATTCACTTATTTTTCTCATAAAATTATTTAATTAGCTAAATTTTATAATTAATCATGAATTATGGGGTTTGTATCAATCTGTAACCTTATTATTTTCCTTCTTCAATCAAGAAACTAACGAAAATGTAACAAATTAATTGGTTGTCTTGTCTATCAACCATTAATCTAATTAACGAAATTTTATGTAAAATTTTATGTGACATTACATAACTTTTTTCAATTTAATTAAATTTTTTTAATACTAAATTACATAATAAAAAACAATTCTTACTTATTTCTTAAATTATTCTACTCATACGTCATAATTCATACCTAAAGCCTATTATTTCCATAAAAAAATTATCACAAAATTAATCAAATAATTAGTAAGATTTCTTTTTGGGCTCCAACGATGACAAACTGGAACGCGCCCAGGCACGCGCAGCCGCACGCGTCGCTGCAATCCGCCGAACAGCTCCCGTAACCAATCCTCCTTCACCGCCTTCCGACTATTGTCTCAGCAAACAACAAATCATCGACTTGCTCCAGAACTGCATTAAACTCGCCAGCGAAAATGTCAGTTTCCTTTGCCCTTCTACAGAAATTTTAATTAAATGCTGTCTCTGTGCTTGGAAATTCAATTGATTATTACCATTGTTGGATACAGTTTTTAGACAATAAACCAGAAGAATAGTTGGGAGTTGAAGCTTATTGATCATCTTAGTGATATCATCAAAGTTGATGCTGCAGAAGCTGATTCACAGACTAATTTCCAAAGGGTATGAACAACTTTTATGAAATTATATGTAATGGCTATGCTAAATGCTCATGTCCTAGTGTTTTAAGTGTTTAATTATGGGAGTTTGATGGACAGGCAAGTTGCACGCTGGAAGCTGGCATGAAAATTTACTCTTAATCAGAGTGGATGCTG